ACGCGTTGCGACAATTTTTTTATAAATACGGGTAAAATCCGACGTATTATGAAAGTAGAGTTTGTTTAATTCGAAAAGTAATTAAAATAGGTGAGGAAAGATCGCCCCTCTTCCACACATTTGCAAATTTTCATATTAAGATTCCTCCGAATCCATGCATTTTAGGTATATGGTGTCTTCGGCATCAACAAAAAGATAATTTGTGTTTTTTTTTAAATATGGTTAAAAACTCACTTTAAACGGGAACGTAGCAAGTCAAAATATTCTACAAAATTATTTGTCATTTGTCAATTTCTATTATAGGCCTTAGAAGACGTCAAGTGTCTAAATCTTACCTAAACGCCTGGAATTAATATTCAGTTACAAGTAAAAAAGCAGTTATTTCAATCGGGCCGAACTTTGAATACCCTCCACCATTTGGAACGAATTTGGAAATTTTCAAAAAAAAAAAAAAATAGAATCCGTTAAAAATTCTGTAAAACCTTAAAAATACCGCACATAGCCCTTATATAGGTGTCCATACGAAGATGTGGATAGGCAACTTTTGCCATAAGTCATTACTATATTCTAATACGAAGTTTGAAAAAAATCCGGTGAATAATGTAGCTAAACTCTTCAAAATACCGAATATAGAGGAGTACTGATATATAGAGCCTATACGAAAACCTGAGTCTGCATAGACAATTTTCTGTCATAGACTGTAGTTCCCATTACGAACTCTAAATAAGAAATTTGAAACAACTCCGGTGAATAATGTCGCTAAAATCATCAAAATACCGAATATTGGGAGGTACCGTTATATGGAGCCTATACGAAGACGTGGGCCTGTATACGCATACATTATGGGGGGAGGGGGTGTACCGCTTTATGTGGGCTATACGATATCGTGGACCGTTCTACACATTTCCAAGGGGTAAAGTACTCAGAAGGAACTCCTTGTGTGGATTTTCAGACAATTCCATTGAAATAATGTGGTTAAAATCATCCAAATAACGAATATCGAATGGTTCCGTTATATGGGGTCTATATGATAGGGGATAAAGTACTCACAAGGAACTCCTTGTGTGAGACAATTCCATCAGGCGGTACTGGTATATGGGGGATATACGACATCGTGGACCTATGTAGACAATTCTTTTCCTGGGGGTAAAGTACTCAAGAGGAGCTCCTTGTTTGGATTTTCAGACAATTCCATTGAAAATTGCCTAAAAATCGCCTAAAAATCACCCACACAGATGCCCACATCGCCGACGTGGCTGTGGCGCCCAACTCGCCCAAAACCCCAAATAGCCTCATCTCAACTTCGTCACATTACAGTGTTACCGACCTATCGACACTCAACGATTTTGCCGAGTATGGACAAAAGAAAACTTCCATACTAATCACAGGCGATGATTGCTACAGTACCATGAATTTGAGCTGTGATGATGCCTCCACGCCGCTGTACCAATCATCGGTGGTGGTGAATGACGAAACATCGAACAAAGAGGTGGGTGGCATACAAATGTTGAATACCTTCAACACGGTGACCATAAATGTAAGCAGTCCCCGTGGCAGTGAAGATGAACTGATACAACAACACAATCAGCTCAACAATCTACTCAAGAAGCAGGGCAAATCTTCCAACAACAACAACAACGCAACCACCAACACCTCCACCAGTACTCGGGCCATAATACCCATACGTGGCACAGTAGACATCAATCTACAACGCTCAGCCTCTTCCACGTCCTCAACCTCAACCAGTTCCATGACCAGCAGCTGTAGTTCGGCATCCTCTTCCACTGGCTGTACCACAAAGAGGGGTAAAACTCTAATACGTTTGGATTATGACAAAGAGAAATCCACCTCCACATCCTCGATCAATTCACACAATTCTTTTCCTGGGGGTAAAGTACTCAGGAGGAGCTCCTTGTTTGGATTTTCAGACAATTCCATTGAAAATTGCGGCTAAAATCATCAAAATACCGAATATCGGGCTCTACCGTTATATGAGGGATATACGATATCGTGGACATGTATAGACAATTTTCAGGTGGTAACGTACTCACAAAGAACTCCTAGTGCAGAATTTCATATATGGGAGCTATAACTATATCTTATCCCTTTTTTTCAAATTTGAAGTACTTCCCTCGGAAGTACCAAAATTCAGTTCATTTGGGCTGATATTAGCCATTTACTGCATATTAAACCTGTTATCGGATAAAGATATATATGGGAGATATATTCAAATCTGATCAGATGTCGATAAGATTTGACAGAGGTATTTTTAAGCGGTATAAGTTATATGGCACCAAACATAATTTTTGTTGAGTGCATATTACGCATGTGAGGGACTTAAAACCCTAAATCGGATGAAACATATATGTGGGAGCTATAGATATATCTGAACCGATTTTGAAATTTGAAAAATTTAGTGAAAATCAAATTTCAGGTCATTTGAACTGATATTGGCCATTTGGTGCACAATTAACCCGAAATCGGTTGAAGATATGTATGGGAGCTCTCTCTAAATGTTTACCGATTCTCACCAATTTAAGCCAGAGTTCTGAATTTTACCAGGTATTGAACTTGAATGTTAGGTATTGCAAATGAGGTTTAGTTAACTTCACATTTCAAGGTCTTGATAAATAAGTTCTCCCTACCGTAGACATGTAAGTGGCATAAATCCGATTTAACGATGCCAAACTATTAAAGTATTTTGAGGATTGAAACCCCATTTTGAGCCTATATCCCTTTTACACTTTGCCCAGCATCTGAGAGCTTTATTAGTTCTTTCTTGGATGTGGTCCCTCCAAATAAGTTTCCTATCTTGAATCAGACCCAGATATTTAACCTCATTGGAAATGTTTTTTTAACTCCTTTGATGTAAGACCATATGAAGCTCTTGAATACCATGAATATCTTTCATATGAATAGAAGACATTCTGAAGCTCATCTGGAGGTAAAAGATCTTCCGAAGCCTTTCTATTGATAAAATACCTTCTGAGGCTTTTCTTTAAATGGGAAAACTTCTGAAAAGGACTTTGTGAAGCTTCCATAGCAAACTTTTTTGAATTTCGAATTCAAAGCTCTTGATTCATTTATTTTCTCTGCGTGTTAAGAAGACTTGCTTGACTTATTAGGTTTCTTTTAGATTTTATATTTAGTCTACCTTAAGAAGGATATTCATAGGATGGGTCTTCCATAAATTCGTAGGAAGGGTCTTCTGTCATTTAATGTCATCTCAACTAGAAAACCTCCCAGGCTATTTAATTGAAATTCGAACACCTTTTACAATCGTTACAATACACCACATTAATGAGTCATTGAACCTATTGCTTCCCTCTTCAAATTACTTTTGCCACATGGTCTTCCTAAAGTAGAGAACATCCTTAATTTTTCATGGAATTAGGTTAAATATCCAATTTCAAACGTATTGTACAATCCCATTGAACAACATCACAACACAGACACACACACAACACATCAACAACAGAAAATAACAAGTAAAAAAGCAGTAAGTTCGGCCGGGCCGAACTTTGAATACCCTCCACCATTTGGAACGAATTAGAAAATTTTCAAAAAAATAAAATCCACTAAAAATTCTTTAAAAATCTTTAAAATATATAATATAGGAAGGTACCGATATATGGGGGGATATACGATATTGTGGACCTATAAAGACAAATCTATGTCTGCGTGTAAAGTACTCACTAGGAACTCCGTGTGTGGATTTTCAGACAATACGATTGGAAAATGTGGCTAAAATCATCAAAATACCGAATATCGCGGGGTACCGTTATATGGGAGCTATACGTTATCGTTAACCTATATAGAGAATCTCTGTCGGTGGGTAAAGTGCTCACAAAGAACCCCTTCTGTACAAAGAACCCCTTGTGACCATTCCGTTGAAAAATATGGCTAAAAACATCAAAATACCGAATATCGGGGGTACCGTTATATGAGGGCTATACAATATCGTGGATCTATATAGATAATTCTCTGCCGAGGTATAAAGTACCCACAAGGAACTCCTTGTGTGGATTTTCAGACAATTCCGTTCAAAAATGTGGGTAAAATCATCAAAATACCGAATATCGGGGGGACCGTTATATGGGGGCTATACGATATTGTGCACCTATATAAATAATTCTCTGCCGAGGTATAAAGTACCCACAAGGAACTCCTTGTGTGGATTTTCAGACAATTCCGTTCAAAAATGTGGGTAAAATCATCAAAATACCGAATATCGGGGGGTACCGTTACATGGGGGCTATACGATATCGTGGACCTATATGGACAATTCTCCGCCGAGATATAAAGTACCCACAAGGAACTCCTTGTGTGGAATTTCAGACAATTCCGTTTAAAAATGGGGGTAAAATCATCAAAATACCGAATATCGGGGGGTACCGTTACAGGGGGGCTATACGATATCGTGGACCGATATAGCCCATCTTCGAACTTGACCTGCCTGCAGACAAAAGAAAGATCTGTGAAAAATTTTAGCTTCCTATCTTAATTCGTTTAGACTGTAGCGTGATTACAACAGACGGACAGACGGACAGACGGACGGACATGGCTAAATCGTCTTAGAATTTTACGCTGATCAAGAATATATATACTTTGTTGGGTCTAAAATGATTATTTCGATGAGTTACAAACGGAATGACGAACTTAATATACCCTCCATACCTTTTTTGGTGGAGGGTATAAAAAGGCCATAGGATATCAAACAACAATTTTCAATACTTCAAACAAATCAAATCCATCCATTAGCACAGTCTTTGGAATGACACTTAAGTTCTATAAGTACCAGCATTCTAAAGCCAAACAACCACAATAATAATCCTCTTTCTTCGTTTGGCAGTGCCGTTTTGCTTAATCTGTTTTCATTTAAACAACCAGCTCCCACACACCCCTCCCCTCTACCATCTACTTCCCACCTACCCAAAAAAAACTGAACATTTGAAATTGAAAAAATATCCTTCTTCTCCTTTTCTTCCTCTTTTTTGTAGGAGCAAGTAAATCAACAACTCCAGAGGCAACGATAGTTAGCAACAACAATGACGATGCCCTGGACAATGCCGAGAATGTACTTAGGGTAGATGCTCAGAGGAGAGCTGATGTCAAAACCAAACAAAAATGCAACTCCAAGAAAACGAAAAAGAATATGCAAACACCACTTGCAGCACCAGAAGTTACTGATAACAGGCGAACTTCTGCCACCCAAGGCGTTCGCATTCAAGCAGCTCAAAAAATAGCAGCAGCAGCCGAAGAAGAAGAAGAGGAACAAACTGATAAATTTGGCTCTGGCATAAAACTAACAAAAGAGACACAATCACGAAAAGCCATCAGACGTTCGCAAAGCGAAAGGCAACCAAACTCAATGACATATCTGAACAGCAGCAGCAGCAACAACAACAGCAACGCCAAAACTGCCAATGTCGATGGCAACGACAAACAAACTGCCATTATTAAGCCAGATATTAGCCAAGACCTGAAGGACATTCCAACTGAAAGGGCTGGTGTAAATCAAAAAATAAACGGCAACACCAACAACAATGGCCGAGGCAAACGCTGCGAATTGAATTTCCAAGACACCATGGCTTTACGCAAACGTTCCAATCGCCTAGATAGCCGAGATTTATTCACATTGCCAGCCCTTGAAAGACCACGCGAACCTCCGCCACCACCACCTTTAACGGCTAACAACAGTAGCTCCACAATTTCAGTACGGAAGTTAGATGCAACACAACCTAAGGCTGCTCATTTGGAGAAGCCACTGAATGAAGATGCTTCAGCGCCAGATGCCATGGAAAGTTTTCAACAAAATATTAACAGCTTTGGGAATAAAAGACAACAACAAACAGGCAACATGTCCTCCAACTCAACCTCAACTACCACCACCACCATTATAAGCACTGAGATGCCAAAAATCAATGTAGATTCCAAGGAGCAATGGCACTTGAAAGCCAACCACAACGGCACACCCTCATCAAGCCCAAGGAATTCCGTGGTTTCAACAACCACTCCACTGTCGACCAAAGCCAAGCAACCACAACGTACTGTGGTCCGGGTGGCACCCTTTAACCAAAACGGCAACTCATTTGAGGTACATCGCCTAAAAATCACCCACACAGATGCCCACATCGCCGACGTGGCTGTGGCGCCCAACTCGCCCAAAACCCCAAATAGCCTCATCTCAACTTCGTCACATTACAGTGTTACCGACCTATCGACACTCAACGATTTTGCCGAGTATGGACAAAAGAAAACTTCCATACTAATCACAGGCGATGATTGCTACAGTACCATGAATTTGAGCTGTGATGATGCCTCCACGCCGCTGTACCAATCATCGGTGGTGGTGAATGACGAAACATCGAACAAAGAAGTGGGTGGCATACAAATGTTGAATACCTTCAACACGGTGACCATAAATGTAAGCAGTCCCCGTGGCAGTGAAGATGAGCTGATACAACAACACAATCAGCTCAACAATCTACTCAAGAAGCAGGGCAAATCTTCCACCAACAACAACAACAACGCAACCACCAACACCTCCACCAGTACTCGGGCCATAATACCCATACGTGGCACAGTAGACATCAATCTACAACGCTCAGCCTCTTCCACGTCCTCAACCTCAACCAGTTCCATGACCAGCAGCTGTAGTTCGGCATCCTCTTCCACTGGCTGTACCACAAAGAGGGGTAAAACTCTAATACGTTTGGATTATGACAAAGAGAAATCCACCTCCACATCCTCGATCAATTCACCCTCTTCGGCTTCCAGTCACATTGAATCTTCACCCTCACCCGTGGAAGAGGAGGAGGCTGATGAAGAGGGCGACACAAAAACCAAGTCATCCCACGAAGTCACCTCAGATTGGTTGCCGCATGAGGCGGAACTTTTGAAAATCCTACGGAATCCCGTTGAGGCCGTGAAACGTAACTTGGTACCCCACATTTGTAAGTTACGTGAGGGTGACACCCAAAAGGATCTGAAACGTTCCAAGAAAATGAAGGATGGGCTCAAGGAAATGCCGCTGGAAATAAAAAAGAGCACTCCACCCACTACACCACGATCTCCAACCACAACCTCTGGTGGCTTTGATGCCAATTCCTTTATCGGCAAACTTCTGGAAGATCCCATGCTTAATCAGGTGGCTGAGGGCCTGGAAATGGACATAGTTTGTGAGCTAATCGAAAACTCCCTAAAACGTCTCCAGGAGTCACGCACTACCTTGGATATGAGCGGTACCAAAGATAACGATGACATGAATCGCCTCATAGACCTGTCGCTCAAGCGCATACGCGAAGAAAGGCAGCAGGCGAAAAATGCCACTGTCAGTCCATCGGCCAATGGCAATCTACTCAGTGTCCCCATGGTAACCAAAGATGAGGAGCGCCTCTCGAATCGTGGCAGCATCAGCTCGGCCAATAGTTTTGCCTCGGCCCATAATTATGAACTATTTGATTTTGAGGCCAACGAATCGGATTGCTATCAGAGCTGTTCAAGTGAAATAAATTCCATGTTGGATGATGATATTGGTTCGCCCGAAACCAAATCCAAGTTCTATCAAATGCTTGTCGATGCCACGCTCCAGGAAATCGAACTGTCCACAAACACAGAAGATCTTATAACCGATGAACATCAATACGAATCAATACGTCACAATTGTGATCCCATCTATGAGGAAATTTCCGATGTTCCACCACCGCTGCCATTGACGGCTCCACCACTCAATGATCCCGAATTGGAAAAGAAAACAGCACGTTCCATCTTTGAGGGGGCCTCAAAGTATGATATACTCTCATATTTGGTTGATGCCAAAGAACGCGGTGTGGTGAAGGAAGAAGTTTTCGATTTTCCCCTCAACTGTTCCAATCCCATAATTATTGAAGAGGAATCTTCAGACACACTCAGCGATTTGGGAAAACTAAGCAAACTCAAACGTTTGGACACCATCAGCTCTCGCTCTTCGGTTTTAAGTGATTCCTCCGAGGATAACCAAAGTAATCTGAGTTCGCTTTCTCCACCCACAAATGGCGGCAATAACTTTAGCCTTTTGAGGCACAAACACACCTCCTCCTCGTCTGCGAGTGACATCGAACGCAATGACTCCGGTGTGGGCTCGGAAACAAGTAAAACTTCAAGGAGTAAATTTCTGAATCCCTCCCACAATTCATCCATTACCTCATCGTTTTCATCGACCACATCCTCGACACATTCGCCGCAACAACGCAGCAGTCCCCTGCATCTATGCGAAGACTGTGATGGTCCCGTGGAAACCCAGCTGGGTGAGGATGGCATAATTTTTGCACCACTCGTCTGTCGCAAGTGTGGCAAGAAACGGGTCGAGCGCAAAGAAATTCTAACGGAAATTGTCGAAACTGAAGAAAAATATGGCCGCGATCTGCAAATAATCTTGGAAGAGTTCTGCCACCCAATGCTGGTGGCCGGTCTACTCACCCAGGAGCAACTCTCTGCAATCTTCCTAAATACCGAAGAACTGCTTGAGAACAATCAAGCTCTGGCCGAGCGGATGCGTGATGCCCTCGACATAGCCCTGGAACAGGGTGACGATGATCTGCTTACGGTGAATATTGGTAAAATATTCCTGGAATCTACGCAAATGTTGCATGCATTCGAAAGTTATTGTGTACGCCAGGCAGGGGCTAGTCTGCTACTGGCCAATTTGGAGAAGGACAAGGAGCTGTTGAGAATCTTCCTGAAGGTCTCACAAATGGAAAATGCCGTGCTGAGGCGGATGAATTTGAATTCATTTTTGATGGTAAGTACCTCTACTGCTCGCCAAAGTGTTCCAATAATTTCAGTTGTTTGTTTGTGTGTTTCAGGTCCCCGTCCAACGTGTCACTAAATATCCCCTGCTCTTGGCCAGACTCTACAAGGTAACGCCCACCCATTTGGAGGGCCGTGAACTACTCAAACAGGCTCAGGAAAAAATCGAATTACATTTGAATCACATTAATCAAGAGGCCAAAGATGTTCCCACCAAGCTATGGCGTCGCATCTCCTCCTCCAGCCCGAATCGCAGGGCCTCGTGTGAGATTGATATGATTAATATAAAATTACGAAAAATGGCCATCGATGTGCTGGAATGGAATCATGACGAGGTGCGTTTTGTCATGGAGGGTAAACTGTTGTATACCCAACCGACCGACAGTAATTGGAAGAAAGCCCGCACCATTAAGCTGACATCGGCCAATGCAATGTTGGTGACCAATGGCAAGGTGAGTGGAAAGGGATGGGAGGGTTGATTTGATTTGTACATATTATGGAGGTAAGGTTTGATCTGCGAAGGGTATTTTGCCTTCTAAATAATTAGGTTTCTTCGAGGCTAGAAAAACTTCCGACAAAAGGTTTTAAAATAAGTATGTATTTCAGACGCATCCCCAACCGATTTAATATTGTGTGTGACAAGCTCTATGTGAAGTTTTTGTTATTTGGTCATAGAGACGTTTTATTATTTTTTGAGACTTTTTTATACCCTCAACCATATGGCTACAGAGGCCAAAACGTGCCTCGTCGACCCTTAGTCGGTGCCAGTTTTAGACCCTTAGTCCCTTTGAGCCAAATCTGTTTCAGAACATTTGGAGTCGATCTAGGGGTGTCTGTCCGTCCGTCTGTCTGTCTAGCTATCTGGTGCGCACAATAACTCTCGAAGGAACTATCCGATTTCATTCAAACTTTGTAAATCGTAATATTATTTTCAAACTTTGTTCGAGTTCGGAAATGGACTAAAGTTCACTATTTGCACAGAAAATAATTTTTTTAGGATCATCAAATATTATCCAAACTTTGTATTCGGGATATTTGTGTCAGTACTATGTCAGGTGCGAAAATGGACAATATCGGGCCACTCCATCATGTACCTCCCACACGAACGGTTAAAACTTTTAATATTTATAACTCTTATAAAATACTAAATAAACATCCGATTCCCTTCAAATTTCACACATCCCAATATTTTTACACAAGATCTGATGTGAAATTGGTAGATATCGATCAGATCCTTCTAGTACTTCCCCCACAAAGCGGTCAAAATTTCGAATTACCGCGAAGGTCATAAAACACGAAATGAGCATCGGACTATTTTCAAAGTTGGCAAATCTCAATATTTCCATCAACATGAGACTAGGTGTGAAAAAGGAATATGACAGACCGCTCCTTATGGTACCTTCCCCACAACGGGTCAAATTTTTGAACAATTTTGAACAAAACAAATAAAATGCGAAATATGCTTCAGATCATCCCACATCCCATTTTTTATAAGTTCGTCATTCCGTTTAAGTTCGTTTATCCGTTTGTAACTCATCGAAATAATAATGTTCTTTATCAGCCCTGTCCGTCTGTCTTTTGTAATCACGCTGTAGTCGAAACTAATAAAGATTTGAAGCAAGTTCGTAGATGGGCTAAATCGGCCGCGATATCGGTCCTTGTAGCGGTACCTCCCGATATTCGGTATTTTGATGATTTTAGCCACATTTTTTAATGGAATCGTCTGAAATTCTACACAAGGAGGTCCTTGTACGTACTTTCCCCCTGAGCATACACCCACCCCACCATACAATGGTACCCTGATGTTCGGTAGTTTGATGATTTTAGTGAAATTATTTAATGTAATTGTCTTAAAATCAACATAAGGAGTTCTTCGAGACTACTTTAGCCCCTGAAAGAGAATTGTCTATATAGGTCCACGATAACATATATCACCCATGTAACGGTACCCCCCGATATTCGGTATTTTTATGATTTTAGCTACATTTTTCAATGGAATTCATCACAAGGAGATCTTTATGAGTACTTTACCACCCACATAACGGTACCCCCGATATTCGGTATTTTGATGATTTTAGCCACATTTTTTAATAGAAACGTCTGAAAATCTACACAAGGAATTCATCACAAGGAGATCTTTATGAGTACTTTACTACCCATATAACGGTACCCCCCCGATATTCTGTATTTTTATGTTAGCTAATTTTTTTATTAGAAACGTCTGAAATTCTACACAAGGAGTTCCTTTTGAATCCTTTACCCCAGAACATACCCCCCACCATACAATGGTACCCCCTATGTTCGGTACTTTGATGATTTTAGTGACATTACTTAATGAAATTGCCTTAAAATCAACAAAAGCAGTTCTTCTTGACTACTTTACCTCCTGAAGGAGAATTATTAAATATAACGGTACCTCCCGATATTCGGTATTTTTATGATTTTAGCCACATTTTTTAATAGAGTCGTCTGAAATTCTTCACAAGGAGATCTTTATGAGTACTTTACCATCTGGAAGATAATTGTCTATATAGGTCTATGATATCGTATAGCCCCCATATAACGGTACCTCCCGATATTCGGTATTTGGATGATTTTAGCGACTTTAATCACCGAAATTGTTTCAAATGTCGTTTTTGAAGATCGGAAAAGTTACTACAGCATATAACAAGAAAATACATATGCAGCACCGACTGGTGGAGGATTAAAAAAGTTCGGCCTGGCTGAACTTAGCTTCTTTTTTAACTGATCTATTAATAAGAGATATATCGATCCACTTCTTCTGAAAGTTAACATTATTATTTACAATCGTTCGCATACATTTTCAAATAAATAAATAAACGTTCCAATTATTTAATAATTATTGATGAAGTAGAATACTTCGGTTCACTACATCTGCCACCTCACGCATATATCAAAATTATTACATATCTGAAGTCAAGATGATAGTCGATATCGTCCAAATCTGACCCGTTGTAATATTTATATCAGATTTATATCGGAAAAGAGTTGGGCAATATTGGCCAACTCTTTCGGAAATTCCCCCAAAAAAGTTCAAAATTGGGAATAATAATAACGGATGTCAAAATATAAGGTTATACAATTGGCGGCAAAATAGACTGATACTTTTTAACTTATTATATTTTTGTTAGTTTCCGCTAACGTGGGTGCCACTTGACTTGATTTGTTATTGGAAATGTTCTAATCATGACCCACTCATGGCTTAAGTACGGCATGCAATATAAACTTACACTTTGTGCTACCAATCTTGAATGCCTTGCTAAGATTTTCAATAATTAAGTTACAATTTAACTCTTCTTTGACTTTAGCATTTTTTCCTCCACTACTCCAGACCACAAGCAATGTCATTCTCTATCAAAGGCACATATTGTCCAAAATCTATATATGTATGTATAAAGAAATTCTCATGTTGTTGATTCTCCCACTTTTTGGTTGTCCAACATTATTGGCTCGGCTCGGTTGGTCTCTCTTCTGGTACTTGGACAAAGGAAATGATACTTGTGTCTGTATGGTGTATAAGGAGCAAAGGATATTGAATCTTCCCTGTCGTCACATACAATGTGAATAAAATGTAATTCAAGTGGTCACACACACACACACACACATCTAAGTATATGTGTGTGTGTATGGAATATGTTTGCCTGACCTATGTAACTCAAGCTCAAGATGGAGACATCTTTTCCCATTCATGGCTAACGATAAAAATTGGAATCTTTATTGAATTAGATGAAACATGCATTAAATTAAAAGCTTCATTTGACCACACACACAAAAAAAACAACATTTCAATTGAATTCCCATTAAATGGCATTGTTCGGTTTAAAGGAATCGAACAGATATGAGATGACATCTTTCCACAAACAGAGAAAAACACCAACAAACAATGGCTAGGTTTTTGGGAGCTTGAACAAAGGACATTGAGTTATTCGAAATTATATGGAATAATTACATTTTCCAGGATCTGAGATAAAATTCTTTTGATAATCCCGAAAATCTTTCAAATTTTGGAGAACTTGTTCGACGTTTTTTATATGCGGAAAAAGGAAGACCCCAAATCTAGAGAAGAGCCGGTTAATATCAAAATCAAATGGAACATATGAGTAAAATGTATAAAGTACTGCGAAGTCGGTGTTACCAAAAAGATTAAACCGAAAAGTCCTCTGAAAAATATATATTTTTTTCAAATCCACGACTGAACATGTTCCTTAAATGTTCCACAATTGAAAATATTCTTTAAATTTTCTATGACTCAAGGTCTTTGGTCTTTCCATGATTCCATGTCCTTGAAAAAAATTCCTTAAAAATTCACGATTTTAAGTCAAATGTTCCATGAAAAATAATCCTTAATGATTCCACGATTATAAGTCTAATGGTCTAGATTATAACCCATTGTAAAATATTCCCTAAAAATTCCTGAAGGCCCTTTATAAATATTCTTTCGAAATATCACGATTATGGTCTATGAATGATGTTCCTTAAATTATCCTTACAATTTTCTTTGAAAATTCTACGATTAAGTATCATTCCTGAAAATTCAATGATTCAAGGTTTTTGGGAAATATTCCTTAAGAATTCCATGATTCTATGTCATTGAAAAAAAATCTTCAAAATAGATTCCACGATCATAAGTCAAATGTTCCGTTAAAAATAGGAGACAATGATCCTTAAAAATATTCCTCGATTGTTGAAAGATGCTAAGATTTATGTATTTAAAAGATATTCCGATTATAACCCTTGAAAATGATTCACTAAAAATTCCAGGATTAAACTCTGATGGTTCTCTATAAACATTCCCCCGAAATTTCACGATTATGATCCATGACTAATGTTCCTTAAATATTCCACTAGTATGATCCTTAAAATTTTCCTTGAAAATTCTACGAATAAGGATCATATCCCCTAAAAAATAAGTAAGTTCGACCGGGACGAATTTGGAAAATTTAAAAAAAAAAAATCCTTTAAAATCTTAAAAATACCGAATGTAGCCGCTATTTAGGGTCGATACGACCACGTGGACCTGCATAGGCAACTTTTGTCATAAACCATTACAATATTCAAATGCGAAACTTGAAAAAAAATCGTAGAATAATGTTGGTAAAATCATCAAAATACGAGTTCCATTATATGGGAGCTATACGAAAACGTGGACCTGCACAAACAATTTTCTGTCATAGGCTGTAATATCCATTACGAACTTCCAATGCCAAATTTGAAACAATTCCGGTAAATATTCTCGCTAAAATCATCAAAATACCGAATATCGGGAGGTGCCGTTATATGGAGGCTGTACGAAGGCGTGGACCTGCAAGGCCCATTTTCAATACCAAAAGTCATACAGTTATAATATACATTTGAGCAAAATGTTATCAACTTCTTCTTAATTTCGTTCAGAAGCTAGTGTGATTTCCAGAGACGGTCAGACCGGCGGACATCGCTAAATCGACATAGAATTTTATGCTGATTATGAATATATATATATAATATACTTTGTGTGGTCTAAAATGTATATTTCGAGGTGTTACAAACGGAATCACAAACTTAACATACCCTCCATACTATTGTGGAGGATATACAAAAAATGCCGGATTTCCATTCAACGCATCCCCTGCAAATGCAAAAAGAGACCAACCATCAGAGTTTTTCTCTACTTTTTTCCATTAACAGTGCCATCATGTACTGTACACATTATAGCCCACACACATTTCCGCTGTGAGCAATCCTCTTATAATTTGGGTCATTTCCGCTAATTGCAAATATTAAATAGAAATCGGTATGAAAAAATATAACAAAACTTCGCGATAGCAACTGAAAACAATGACCTGTACTTGGCCGTTCGCAAAATAGTTTTTCTGTTTTCACTTTGAAATCTGGCCGAGAGAGCAAAAAAAAAATACTTGTACCGAGTGAGTGCAAAAAAAAGCTATCTAAGCCATCTGATGGACAGTTGAAACTATTTCTCCGGAGTGATAGCGGCCGATACACACGACGACGAAATGAATGCATGGAAGTGCTAAAAACAGACAAAGTGAGTGCTGTGTGCGGATGCCCGGAAGGATTTGAAACACTAAAAAACCGTTAAACTCAGCGAAGCATTGCAATGTTGTTAGTGATGTTGTTGTTTTTTTTTTTTCCTTTCTTTCTTTTTTAAAAGGCAAGCCGCTGGTTTTCATCGGAACAATTTTGTTCTTGTCCCTTTCTTCTTTTGTGTATATTTCTTGCAATTGATTTTGTTTTTTTGCTTTCCTCATCTCTCCCTCTTTATTTTCATGTTATACTCCCATACCAACTATTCATCATCTTTTGCTACTGGATGGACTTTATGTTATCAACACTTTAAACATCCTGCCTGGTTGGCTGGCTGGTTGCCTGACTGCCCATAACGCTATGCCAACGGCAACGACAATGATAACCATTTCTATTCAATATTCAATACATGGAACGTATCGAACATCCAAAACATGGACCTATCTACCAACCTACATATGTATGTGTGTTCATATGCAACAAATATGAATGCTACAAACCTGTGTTTGATGCTGACAATGGCGATGCTGGCGATGATGATGACGATGCTTGCTGTGGATGACGATGACGATGGGCTATGGTGTTGCTACAACAATTCCTTTTGCCACATAGCCAAGTACCAATTACAAGGCAGAAAAAGTCATGTCAGATAAACTGAATTTTAACAAGCACACCGGAATACGAGAAGCCGCATTGTTGTTGGTCAAAGAGAAGTGTGGACGTTATGCATTGATACGTGAGCCATTGTATTTGGATCGATGTGTGGTATGCAGTGAGGCTGATTGGGATGAATATTTTGAGATACAGGAGATCTCATCGAAGGATACGTTCATATTTAAAGTAAGTACTAGAATAACACGCACACAGACACACACACACACATGTGCAATACATAAATATGTATGTTAAGTAAGTTAGTACCATTGCCCGCAAGCGATGAAACGATGTTGTGTTGCCAAAAGCCCATAATGTTGTTATACACTTCATTGGCATGTAAAATAAAATCTATTCTATGATCGGAGGATTATTTAAATAAATGGAAACGGAACTTGAATAACTGTGAGAGTGGAAAGTTGGACGAGGGGCAGGCATGGTATTGTTTAGGAGAAGGATAAGGAAACGAATATTGTTTTCCTTGGATTGAGGGTAGTGTTTGGTTATTTGATATGAAAGCAACAGGGGTATTTTATAAAAAACGGAGTTGGAAAATATTTCACTATTGTAACATGAATGATCCTTGAAAAAATCCTTAGAAATGATCCTTGAAATAAAAATTTTCTTAAAAAAATAACAGACCAAATTTTAAAATGTTCCTTCAAAAATTATCCTAAAATATCACCCTCATGGCTCCTTCAAAAATTATCCTTGAAAACGGCTAGTTCAAATTATCATTGAATTTCCATAAAAATCTACGCCCACAGCTCTTATGGTCCTTTGAAAAATCAATAAGTGCAAAACTAGGCATCCCTGAAAACATTTTCCTAAAAATGTCCACGATTATACAGAGTGAGATAAAAAAAAGCTGCAACAAAGTCAAACGCCATATTTTTTACATTTTTTTTAAATTTTATTGAATGAAAGCAAAAAATATCGGAAATAGCAACAAATTTTAAAATAAGTGCAGATTTGTTCGAATTGGTCACCTTTGACACGAATTATGGCCTTCAAACGGCCAATGAAACCGTCACACGCTGCCCGAATGTTGCTCTACGGTATTTTGCCCCATTCCCGGCGAAGCGCTTGCTTGATGTGATCGACACTTTGGTATTTTTTAGTACCAACCTTGCTTTCCGGATTGGTATCCGGAGATTTTGGTGGCCATTGTGCGCTGGAAATTAAGCGAGACACCTCATTTGATGCCACGGTTGATTAGTTCGTGCGGAGAGCGACCATCGGCTGTTATGGCGGCCTCAGCATCACCATGGCCGGCGCTTGAGTTCTGGTGGCCAACCGAAGATGCACATTTTCAGCTGACCTCTTTGGCAAGTAAACACGATCATTTTGTTTGTTTACAAACTGCTAGACAACGAATGTTTTTTCATCAGAGAAAACCAAATTCGGCAGTTCGACACTTTCGACCAATCGAAGCAACTCTTTAGCTCTATTTTCTTGAGTCTAAGTTTTGCACTTTTTGGAATTTCAATGGCTTTACCCCGAGCTCATTTTTCAATATTGCGATATGTTCAGCTCACGAGCCATATTTTGGCCACTGCGACGCGGGTTTCGATCAATTCGCTTCTTTACTTTTCGAAACATTTCTGCTGATGTTGCTATTTCCTTCCGTCCACTTCCTTTTCTCGTTACGTCACGGTAACGAGCGATGGTACGAGACACAAAAGATTTGTTCACATTTAAATGCTGGAGAACTCTAAAAATAACCACATGTGATTTTCTAGCCAAATATAAAGAAATCACACTATCACGCTTGAATTCCATCACGAATCACTTTTTTTCTGGAAAATTCTCACCAAAATGCTTTTGTATGCTTGTAAATAATATAATGAGCTGTCATTGGAATAATTTTAAAGGAACGAGTGGCTTAGAAATAAGAGCAGTCTGAAATTGGTTGCAGTCTTTTCATCTCACCCTGTATTTTAAAATATATTCCTTAAAATAATCCGCAATTTACCTCTAAAGATCCTTGACATATTTCCTCTGAGAATCCATAAATATCTCCAAAGTTCAAAAGGGACCTGGATATGAAAATCCATAATTTAGCTCTAAAAATCCTTGAAAATATCCTTCCAAAAGTCCCTGAAAATTTTCTTCTGATAGTCTTAGAAAATATTTATAAATATTAACCTTCATAATGACCACATCCAACAATTTAACTCTATATTCTTTAAAAATCCTCGAAAATAGGGCAAATTTGTTGTCGTAGGTCGATTATAGGTCAAATTGAAATTCCTCGATTATAGGTCTTGAAGATTTTACGATTGAAAAATATTCTAAAAAATAATGGTCCTTCTAATATATTCTCAAAAAATCCGCGATTATAACTCTAATGGCCCTTAAAAATATTGACTCCAAGATTACAACATTATGGCTTATTAGTGTTTCAAAAATGAATTTCTCACACTTATCACATTAAACTACTAACTACCGCACTTTATTTCTCTCCCTAGGCCGAGGATAATGTCCGCACCAAACAATGGTACACACAGCTGCAGTATCACGCCCAGGGTATGGGCGCCTGGCGCAAAAGACGCAACGCCTTGGCCAATATTATGATTAATGGCATGTTGACGCGTAGCTAAGTCCGAACGGGATGGTGTTTATGTGGAGCTACCTACCACCTATGTGTGGGCAACCAGAGAGCGAAAAGGCATAGCAACGGCAATGCAAACGAATGAAAAACGATTAAAATTCCAATTGGAATGCAAACATAAATTTGAATTCAATTCAATACGCAATCAAAACGACTTAGGCTAATACGAATGTGACCTAATTATGGTCGTTTACATTAGAAAATGAAAGCACCGAAATGCAAAGCAACAACAACTGCAGCAGAAGCATCATCAACAGTTAGCTTTTAATTACACTCTTTACCGGGTTGTTGTATAATTTGTAAATCTTTGTAAAATTTATGAGAAGAATTTCCGTTCCATTCTCAAAAAACAATAATTTAACAACAAACGAAATGTTATTTAAAATTTAAATTTGTTAGCTTGGATTAACACTTGATATTTGTTTCCGTTCAAACTTAAACAACAAAAAAATGTGAAAAAAAACAAACATTAAAAACTTTATAAATAATAACCTAAATACATATTTATACATATCTATCTATCTGTCTATTATCAACAAAAATATATAAGCCTCTATTATTATCTGCATAAAACTATAAATAAATTCATTTCAAAGTATATTCGGTTTATAATTTTGGTAGGAATAAAAAATTTAAACATATATTTCACTTAATATGGATGAGTGTAGATACATACATACATGCACGTTCGGGCACACACATACACAAGCGCCTGTGTGTGTTGGTATTTGTAATTTGTATTTTATTGTTATTAGGATTTATATTATTCGACGCATTTATTGCGAACATTTTTTTTTATTAATTCGTAAAATAATTATTAGCTGATACACCGACATGTGGTTTATAAAACTCTTTGTTTACTTCGAGTATATTTTTGTTTATATTTTATTACAACTACTACTACTACTACAAACAACAACAAACATACTATCTATATACATACCTACACATATTATTGGAATATTTTGTAATTATAATTTCAAAACAAATTAAACAATAAATAAAGTTATTAAAAATATATTTATTACGGATTTATTATTGATTTTTTTTAAAATGTTCGTGGCAATTTCAATAATAAATTTTTAATTTTCCGTTCGATTAAGCTTACTGCACTGCAGTTTGGTAATTATTTTTGTTTTTAAACTAATTAAATTTAAATGGATGCATTCGAAACAGTTTAAAACCCACCAGGTCACTGAAAAAAAACTATTTGACTCTTGATGTTCCATGTCCTTTAGAGTCTTTGAAATTTGTCTCCATGATTATTTCCTTCAGAGTCTTTGAAAATTGTCCTTACTAGTTCGAGATTTTACAAATCTTAAAAAAATATTATTTATCCCTCGAAAATATTAATTAAACTTCTAATATTATTGTCCTCTAAATATATTTCTCATAAAACCATGATTGCGCTCTTTTAAAAAGTTTCTTAAAAAGTTTGCAACTGTACAGGGTGAGATGAAAAAACTGCAACCAACTTCAGACTGCTGTCATTTCTAAACCACTCGTCCGACAGCCAACCAGTGACAGCTCATTGTATTGTTTACAAGCGTACAAAAGCATTTTGGTGAGATTTATCCAGAAAAAAAGTTATTCGTGTTGGATTCCATGCGTGATACTGTGATTTCTTTATATTTGGCTGGAAACCCACAATTGGTTTTCGTTAGAGTACTCCAGCATTTAAATGTGAATAAATCTTTTGTATCTCGTACCATCGCTTGTTACCGTAATACTGGTAACGTTGTCCGACGTCAAGGAAGTGGACAGAAGAAAACAGCAACATCAGCAGAAATGGTTCGAAAAGTAAAGAAGCGACTTGATCGAAACCCGCGTCGCAGTGGCCAGCAAATATTAAAAAATGAGCTCGGGGTAAAGCCATTGAAATTCCAAAAAGTGCAAGAACTTGCACCGCAACAGAAAGTAAATAGACTCAAAAGAGCTAAAGAGTTGCTTTGGTTTTGTTTGGTTTTCTCCGATGAGAAAACATTCGCTGTCCAGCAGTTTGTAAACAAACAAAATAATCGTGTTTACTTGCCAAAGAGGTCAGCTGAAAATGTGCACCTTCGGTTGGCCACCAGAACTCAAGCGCCGACCATGCTGATGGTGTGGGCCTCCATAACAGCCGATGGTCGCTCTCCGCTTGTATTAATCGACCGTGGCATCAGAATAGACAATTTTTTGTCACAGGCTGTAGTACCTATTAGGCACTTTAAATTTCAAACAATTTCGGTGAATATTGTACCTAAAAACATCAAAATACCGAATGTAGGGATGTACTGATATACGGACCTGCATAGACAATTGTCTATCATAGACTTTAGTTCCCATTACGAACTCTAAATACGAAATTTGAAACAACTCCGATGAATAAAGTTCCTAAAATCGTCAAAATATCGAAAATCGGGAAGTACCGTTGTATGTGGGCTATGCGATCGTGGACCTATATAGACATTTCTCTTCCAGAGGGTAGAGTGCTTTGATAGAACTTCTAGTATGGATTTTCATTGAAAAATGTAGCTAAAATCATCAAAATGACAAAAATGCCGAGGTACGGTTATATGGGGATATACGATGTCATGGATATATACAGAAAATACTCTTTCAGGGCCTAAAGTACTCATAAGGAACTCCTTTTGTGGATTTTCACACAATTTCACTGAAAAATTTGGCTAAATTTTTCAAAATACCTAATAACGTTATATGGGCGCTATACGATATCGTGGACCGTTATAGCGCATCTTCGAACTTGACCTGCCTGCAGATAAATTACTGATCGGTGCAATATTTTAGCTTCCTTTCTTTATTCGTTTGGTCTCTAGATTGATTACAACAGACGGACTGGCGGACGGATGGACAGCGCTAAATCGTTTTAGAATTTTATGCTAATCAAGAATATTTATACTTTTTTAGGTCTAAAATTATTATTTCGATGAGTTACAAAGGGAATGACGAACTTAATATACTCTCCATACAATGTAAGGTGGAGGGTACAAACAGATCTTAACCTATATCACAAAACCGTACAAACTTGAAGAAATGCAATGGAAGATGGTTTAAAGCCTTTAAAAAACGTATAAAATCGTGTGGTGCCCGGCAGCCGCATCAAGATTGTTTTTCGTTCAAAATTTCAAAAAATCTCCCAAGGATAGGAGACTTCCTAGGTTTTGTTTAAGGTAAAGGCCCTATAAAAGTTCCTGGCTGAACCGGAAAACTATTAAATTTCATTTCAACATAGACAGCTTGTAAAAGGTCTTTTGCTTATGGAAAACATGTAAAATTATTTTGCCTCAAGAATCCCTCTAAAACTTTTTTTCGCTAGAACACCTGTTAAAGACCTTTCGCCTATAGACGTCTTATAAAAGCTCTTCGGTCGTTAGAAGACTTGTGGAAGGTCTTTTATGGAGGAGCATCGATAGCTTATCTTCCATGGAGGACCTATACGAGTATTATTGATATTTTCCTTAGAAAAGTGATTTAGCGGTTCTGACCCTTACTAATAGTTCTCATTGGTCTTAGAGAATGCATCGGCTTCTTTAAAACGAAAAAAAAGAAATATACAAACCCTTGAAATTTTAATCGTTGGGTGCTAAGTGTGTACAATAACGATTTGTGAAAAATATTTTTAGGACTACGTGTGGGTGTGAAGTTAGAATACACGTACCAGATGTCTGTACCCTCCCTGCAGGAAAATAAATTGGTTTAAAACTAATTTAAAATTAGTTTAAAAAAAACCACAACTAGTTTGTTTTTTGATTTATTTCCTTTACGCCAACTAACTATTTTAACATGGGGATGAGCTAGGCAGTGGACAATTGTCCATTCCTGCATTACTTTGAAACTAAATATAAACTAGTTACTTTTAAACTAACTATAAACCAATTACTTTTAAGCCAATTTTTAGTCAGTTGAAAAATATGTTAAAAAAGTTCAAAAAAACTTTTTTTTATTTATTTTTTTTTGTTAATCAATTTTCTTTATTTTCTATTTGAAGGAGGAGTGCTATTTTCAGATACCCTGGCTGCACTGTTTTTCTAAGCATATGTACTTGTGTATTAAGGTTAGCAGCACTAGCTTGTATTATTGTACGTTGCATTTATATCGAAATATTTTTGGAAATGTATTATGCGAATTATTGCAAAGTTGTTTGATATAACCAATCATCTTTGTTTTTTAGTGCTGTTTTTTCTCTAGAGAACTTATATGGGTTTTGTTTTTGCAATTTATTTTCGTTCTGATGTTTGAAGTGGTTGATATCCAGATGACTTTTCAACCAATTTGAAGTTAGTTGTAGAATAATGCATTTATAACTAACGATTTTCTCAACTGGTTGAAAAATGCTCCGCTGGTAAGTTAGTTAGTAAATGCATTATTCTACAACTAACTTCAAATTAGTTGAAAAGTCATCTGAATATCAACCAGTAGTGGTTACTTTGCTTTTTGATCTCCAGATGACTTTTCAACTAATTTGAAGTTAGTTGTAGAATAATGCATTTATAACTAACGATTTTCTCAACTAGTTGAAAAAATTCTTGCAGGGCTGCAGGAAAATAAATTGGTTTAAAACTAATTTAAAATTAGTTTAAAAAAAACCACAACTAGTTTGTTTTTTGATTTATTTCCTTTACGCCAACTAACTATTTTAACATGGGGATGAGCTAGGCAGTGGACAATTGTCCATTCCTGCATTACTTTGAAACTAAATATAAACTAGTTACTTTTAAACTAACTATAAACCAATTACTTTTAAGCCAATTTTTAGTCAGTTGAAAAATATGTTAAAAAAGTTCAAAAAAACTTTTTTTATTTATTTTTTTTTTTGTTAATCAATTTTCTTTATTTTCTATTTGAAGGAGAAGTGCTATTTTCAGATACCCTGGCTGCACTGTTTTTCTAAGCATATGTACTTGTGTATTAAGGTTAGCAGCACTAGCTTGTATTATTGTACGTTGCATTTATATCGAAATATTTTTGGAAATGTATTATGCGAATTATTGCAAAGTTGTTTGATATAACCAATCATCTTTGTTTTTTAGTGCTGTTTTTTCTCTAGAGAACTTATATGGGTTTTGTTTTTGCAATTTATTTTCGTTCTGATGTTTGAAGTGGTTGATATCCAGATGACTTTTCAACCAATTTGAAGTTAGTTGTAGAATAATGCATTTATAACTAACGATTTTCTCAACTGGTTGAAAAATGCTCCGCTGGTAAGTTAGTTAGTAAATGCATTATTCTACAACTAACTTCAAATTAGTTGAAAAGTCATCTGAATATCAACCAGTAGTGGTTACTTTGCTTTTTGATCTCCAGATGACTTTTCAACTAATTTGAAGTTAGTTGTAGAATAATGCATTTATAACTAACGATTTTCTCAACTAGTTGAAAAAATTCTTGCAGGGCTGCAGGAAAATAAATTGGTTTAAAACTAATTTAAAATTAGTTTAAAAAAAACCACAACTAGTTTGTTTTTTGATTTATTTCCTTTACGCCAACTAACTATTTTAACATGGGGATGAGCTAGGCAGTGGACAATTGTCCATTCCTGCATTACTTTGAAACTAAATATAAACTAGTTACTTTTAAACTAACTATAAACCAATTACTTTTAAGCCAATTTTTAGTCAGTTGAAAAATATGTTAAAAAAGTTCAAAAAAACTTTTTTTTATTTATTTTTTTTTTTGTTAATCAATTTTCTTTATTTTCTATTTGAAGGAGAAGTGCTATTTTCAGATACCCTGGCTGCACTGTTTTTCTAAGCATATGTACTTGTGTATTAAGGTTAGCAGCACTAGCTTGTATTATTGTACGTTGCATTTATATCGAAATATTTTTGGAAATGTATTATGCGAATTATTGCAAAGTTGTTTGATATAACCAATCATCTTTGTTTTTTAGTGCTGTTTTTTCTCTAGAGAACTTATATGGGTTTTGTTTTTGCAATTTATTTTCGTTCTGATGTTTGAAGTGGTTGATATCCAGATGACTTTTCAACCAATTTGAAGTTAGTTGTAGAATAATGCATTTA